ATTTCTTGGGGTTTATATATTGATAGGATGAGAAATGATTATATAGTTCCAGGTTTGGTAAAAACAAAAATGACATAAAGGAAAAAGATAATCTTTTAAAACGTTTCTATAAAAATGCCTTTCATTGTCTTTGATTCCTTTTACTTCTCAGAGAACCAAAATAATTCTGCTAAAATTTTTGTATCTATACATTAAAAAAATGATTAAAAGTCTAATATTTGTTTAAAAATACATTTCTACATTTCCTGGAAACTGCTATAGAAATCCAGAAATACAAAGAGGACAATCTTCCCTTTTTTTTTTTATTTTATTTTAACAGTAATTCCTGAGTTTGTAACTCAAGTGAATGTTGCCTTGGAAGCTTTAAGCAAGAACTCATTGAATGTGTTTGATGATAATCAATTTGTGGACATCTCAAAGAAGATCTATGATACAATTCATGATATCAGATGTTCGGTCATGATGATTCGGGTAAGTTGTCTTTACTTTCCATTGAATTATTTTGCAACACTCTTCACCATCTGGAATGCCTGGAATGATTGCAAGAAATGCTTTATTTCTATGCTGTAATGTCAATGCTGAAATCCATTAAAACTTTAGAAGTTTATATGTATCCCCAAAGTCAGATCCACTGTCACAAACAACACTTTTACTTATGTATTTGGTGATAACTTACACAAACGAGCACATTTAACTGCCACGTGTGCAGAAAGGATAGGATTTGTGGTGTGCAGGATTTGTTGAGGTGTCTCTTAGCATGATCAGGAATCAAAGAAAAATACATAAATTAATTTGCTTTCTTTTATTGAACAAAAAGGAAAGGATCTTTCTCATCACTGTAGTGGAATTGATAGGAAAATGTATTAAAACAAGGTATTTCTATGGCCAAGCCCTCTTATCTTAGATCATAGAATCGCAGAATGTTCTGCAAGAAATCTCACTTGGAGCTGCCAGGAACAACAAACTCTTGAACTGTCCTGGTCTGGGAGCTTCTATTTGGGGAAATGTATGCCACCTTCCCACGGGAGTGTGTGTACCATTTGTATATACGGAGACCAGGTTTGTTTTTACTCAAATATTAATGTAAAGTATTTTAAATGTTACTAAAAAATGTAAGTTCTTTAGAGAACGCATATGTAAATATATGAAGATATCTTATCTTAGGATGAGTTCCCCTGGAGGCAGACCCTGAGGTAATGATTTGTGTTATCAGTAGTCTATTTAGGAGAAAGTGAGACCGAAAAAGTGAGGCAGGGAGGAGAAGAAAACCAGTAAGGGGTAATCATGAGTCACCAAAGACAACTGGAACTTGATCCTGCTGGTGAACTCTGGGAGGTATTGTAGAGTGCACCTCAGCACCTCAAAATTATCTCACCTGAGGCAAGCAAAATCAGGTTTATCCACCTGTTCATCCCTGGTTAAAGGCCACCCTCAGAGGTGTTACCTGAATCTCATGCTCAGGGCCAATCAAGGTCTTGTGGCTGAAGAAACCGCCTCAGACAGGGTGTCAGATGATTGCAGTAGGAAGATTCAGTAGGACTGGTGAAGGTAATTTGTATGAACAGAATTCAATTTTAAAGCCTCTGGACTTAACTGTTAGACTGTGAGATGTAAATAGAAGTGCCAAGAATATATGTTTGGAGCATCCTTAGCATCTGGTAGGCCTGTATGTCATAGTTAGCCTGAACGGAACAGTTCATAAAAATGGAGTCATTTGTGGACCTTGTAAAGAAAAAGGTCAACAGACATTAGGAAGCCTGGTAGGGCAAATGGATGCTATGGAAGAGATTATAAGAGAAAGGCTAAAAGTGTCAAGATATAGGATCTAGAACTTCAGGGCTTGGGAAAACCTGAAAGCAAACCCAATTAATTATACATATTAGAGAGAACGCCAGGATATATATTTGTGAGAAGCCTACAAGAATTTGTTCATATGTGTGATTAGAAACTGCGACCTTGTACCAACACTATGTCTGAACAGCAAGAACCTTCACTAATTTTCTTGTTCTTGTGAAGGTTTTTATGCCTAACCTGTGGGACTAGTGGACTAGTAATAACCCACACGGTGGCGGGGGGGAGAGGGGTGGGTAGGTAAACCCAGAAGAAAAACATTAAAAGTGTGAAGAAGACACACAAACTTTGGAAAATAGTCTTACCAAGGTGAAACCTTTACATTTCTACTGTCCCTGGGTGGATATTTGAAAATATAAAACAGTGAAATAGCATAGGGAAACCAGGGTAGAGAATGTATTTTTTCCTACTGCGGCTATTTAGGGAAGAAAAAATATCTTATAGCTTCTGCAAGTTAGATGTCCCACTATTTTAAAATTTCCTTATTATCAAGATGGCTTACTTATGGCAAATCAAATTATCTTGCCATTATTTCTGCATATCCCTCATATGTAACAGTCCTCTGTGGGGCAG